GTGGACGAGACCTGGGCAGGTGGGGAGGGCTCCTTACAGGCGTGCTGGGCTGCTCCCGCGCTGGTGCCAAAGGATGGAGATTGGGAAAGATGGAGGGACTAAGGAGGAGGGGGCTTGGAGAGAGAAGGTGAGACCTCACCGAGGTGTTCGCCCTTCCCCAGACACAGCTCAAGGCTCAGAACAACAGGATCGAGCAGCTCTTCCAGAAGGTGGCTCAGCAGCAGCGTCACCTGGAAAAGCAACACCTGAGAATCCAGAATCTGCAGAACCAGGTACCCTAGGCCTGGCCCACATCGGGACAGAGGGGGCTCAGACCTGGACCAGTGGATTTGGGTGTGCAGCCAGGCAGGTCAGGCAGCTTGAGCCAGCCAGACCTGACGCGGTCCTCCCGCCCTATCCCAGGTTGGCCTCCTGGCCCCCACACACGGAGACAGTGGAGTGGCCAAGCCTGCCAGAAAGAAGAGGCTACCCAAGATGGCCCAGCTTGCTGGCCCAGCTCACAATGCCAGCCATCCTCACAGTAAGTGTCTGGCCCTCTTCTATCCTCTGGCAGTCTCCTCACCCCTGTGCTGTGCCCCTTTCGGTCAAGGAGAAGGGGTGAGGTCCTGTGGGCTCACCAGTCTCTGGTAAAGGGGGCCATCCCTCCTCAGCCCTGGCCCTGCCCAGTCAAGCCACCTCACTCTCTTCCCAGCAAGCCAGTGGGCTTTTCCGAATCTGACCACTAATGGGACCATGAGTCGAGAAAGAGCCCACGGGAAACCTGAGTGGCAGGGGTGCAGCTTGGGGATGCTGTCCCGAAGATTAGAACTTTCTAGAAGTGCATGATGGACAACAGGGTGCCAAGGAGGGGTGTTCTGTGGGCCCTCTATGGTCATCTCGGCGGGGGAACTAGGTCAGGAGCCCTCTGGCTCCCCAGTCAGACATCCGCACTTGCATCTTGCAAATTCGGGGCTCCCCGTCTTGTCCCCAAAGTCCTCATACTCCCCACTCCTGCAGGATGTGGGCTTTGGTCACCACTCTATCGAGCATGTCCCAACTGTCCCCTACTCAGAAGGGCAACCAGTCCGTGTGTGTCTGATGTGAGGTTTCGGTTCCCACCCCAAGTTCACGGCCCCCGCGTGGCTCCTCCCAGCCCCGTCACCCTGCCTGACATCTGTGGCTGTCGGCAGCCAACTGGGCGAAAGTTCGGACTTCCCCCTTGCACCGAGGGCTGGTGGCTGGCTTGGGTCCTTCTAATCTTCGGACTCCCCCACCCCAGCCTTCTTCCTCCTTTCCCTCTGCTGGTATCACTATCTCAGTGTGGTGAAAGTTGGGGTCACCCTTCCGCACTGCGGTTCTGGGATAAGTGGCCTCAGGGGGGTAGGGGGTGAGCAGGCACAGGTCCTGGCTGGGCGAGGTGGTATGTGTGGGTTCGGGACTCCCAGACTCTGCGCTCAGCGGCTGCCAAGTGAGGGAAAGTTCATAGCTGGGGTAGGAACAGCTGGAGCTAATAGAAGCCACCAGGGTGGTTTGGCTGCAAGCCCGTCCTGATTGGATGAGAGGAAAGTAGGGGAAAGGGGAGCCACCCCAAGGGGCCGGAAGTGTTCTCCTGTCACTGAGCACTGGCCCCACCACCCCCGCGGTGCAGAGTGTCGGGGCCTTCCCCTCCCGCTCCGGGCGACCTTTCCCCTACTTTCCTGGCTGTTCTTCCCTGAGCGAGTCTGCGGACAGATTCCGAGTTTTCCTTCAGCTCCCTCCGCCTCTCCTCCCTCCTCCCTCCCTCCTCAGCCCTACCCCCTCTCCTTCTGGATAGCTGGGTACCTGGGCTGAGCCTCCGTGCACCCCCAGTCCTACTCCGCTGGTCGGCATCCCCAGCTGGGCAGATCGGAGCCCCTCTGGCTCAGCTCCCTCTTCCCCACATCCCAGCGAACCCCTTCCTTCCCTCCTCTCTTCCCTCTCTCATTCCCTGATCAAGTCTTTACTGAACACCTGCTATAGGCTAGGATCAGTGTGGACAGAGCTGGTCCCCCTATCCTGCTTCCTGGAGCCCCCATTTGGCGGGGAAAGCAGGGGAAGGGAGAGACCACCAGATCGCCCCAGCCTTAGGGGGCGTGAGCAGTCCTCAATGCCCACGTTATGTCAGCGTGTCTGGCCCCGTCTGGGAGTGAGGGGAGCAGCTTTCCAGAATCCGGCCCCAGAGAGAGGAGGGAAGGAAGAGAGTCCTGAGTGGAGGGGTCAGCACGTGCAGGAGGGTGGCAGGGGCGGTGTGCCTTACAGAACTTGCCAAGGAAGGCCATCGGGAGCCACGGAAGGGATGGAGGAGGGGGTTGTGAGATGAGCGTTGTTGTTCACCTCCCCGTCACCCCCTGCTTGGCCCCCAAACCTCCTTTTTCCTTCTGAGACCCCAGGAGTGCCATCCTGCTTCAGCTCCCCCCTCTGTCTGCCTGCAGGGCTGCCTCGAGACTGCCAGGAGCTCTTTGAAGAGGGCGAGAGGCAGAGCGGACTGTTTGAGATCCAGCCCGAGGGGTCCCCGCCGTTCCTGGTCAACTGCAAGATGACCTCAGGTAGGGTGTGCAGGTTTGCCAGGGAGTCCTCTCCCCCTGGGCCCTCTTCTTTTATTGTTTTAAATTTTATTTATTTATTTTGAGAGAGAGAGAGAGAGAGATTTTTGCTATAGGACATGTAAGAAGCCACCCCCCCAGGGGAGATGGCCACACCACAATCTCTTCCTCCTTGGGATTTGGGGCACGTATGCACACACAGCATGAGTTTCAAGCTGCCAGGTCCGGGGTTCGAATTGCGGTCAACCATGTGGGAGTCCAGCACCTTAACCACTGCACCAACCGCAGCTCCTATTATTATTAGAATTACGGATTTTATTTTCTTTGTTTTTATTATTTTAAAACATGACCAGAGAGAAAGGGAAAGTGAGAGAGCAAGCCACCAGGTCCAGGACTTGAATCGTTGTTGACCATGTGGGAATCCACCGCCCTAACTACTGTGCCACCTGCTGGCCCCTATTATAATTTTTTAATTTGACCAGGGAGAGACAGAGAGAGAGGGAAAGTGAGAAAGCAAGCTGCCAGGTCCAGGACTCAAACTGTAGTTGGCCATGTGGGAGTCCTTAACCACCACACCACCTGCTGCCCCCCCACCCCCATTGTCCTTTAAAATGCAGCCCTAGGGCCTGGTGGTTAAGGGAACCAAATCCCACACAGCTAACTCTGCAGCCTGAATCTTGGCCCTTTTGCTTGAAAAACACGCTGGGCACATGTGCATGTGTCCCCACAATCCCCATCCTTACTTTCCCTCTCTGGCAAACACACATGCCCTCTGCCTTAGAGAACAAAAAAACAACACTCCCACCTCCTGCAAAAAAATGCAGCCCTTTCCCTCCCATGGAGACTTGAATTCTAAGCTCAGAAAGGAGTTCTGGTGATTAAGAAGTGCGGGGGGGAAAAGCCAAGTCCAGCCGGCCCAGGGAGGCCTTGCAGATTTCTGCTGCCCCTCCGGTCCTCCCCTCTGGCTAACCCAGCTAGATTCCTCCAGTCCTCCCGGCACTAGTCAGAGGAGTGTGACCTTCCCTGAGTCTGGAGGGGGCTTGGAGGTTGGGTGCCAGGTGAGGAGGGAGGTTAAGGGTCCCTAGAGAAAAGGGACCTCCTAGTGACCTTGTGATTCTCTGAGCAGACGGAGGCTGGACAGTGATTCAGAGACGCCAGGATGGCTCTGTGGACTTCAATCGGCCCTGGGAAGCCTACAAGGCGGGCTTCGGGGACCCCCAAGGTGAGTGTTCTCCAAGGGGCCAGGGGAGGAGGAGGAGGCCGTGGGGGTGGGCCCACCTCACTGAGCGGCCTCTCTACTGTAGGCGAGTTCTGGCTGGGTCTGGAGAAGATGCACCGCATCACTGGGGACCGTGACAGCCAGCTGGCCGTGCAGCTGCAGGACTGGGAGGGCAACGCCGAGTTGCTTCAGTTCCCCGTTCACCTGGGCGGCGAGGACACGGCCTACAGCCTACGGCTCACGGCGCCTGTGGCCAGCAAGCTGGGTGCCACCACTGTCATGCCCACTGGCCTCTCCCTGCCCTTTTCCACGTGGGACCAGGACCACGACCTCCGTGGGGACAAGAACTGCGCCAAGAGCCTCTCAGGTGAGTGAGTCGTGCCCCACCCGGTCTGGGCCTTCCCTCCTGTCCTGTCCCCAACTCTAAATTACATCTGTTTCCTGTCTCTGCTCTTACTTGTTCTGTGCCCTTGGGCCACTGAGTTAACCTCTCTGGCCTCTGTTTGCCATCTTTAAAATGGATATAACTACAATCAGCAGGTGGTATGGTGGCTAAAGCGCTGAACTCCCACATGGGTGACTGTGGTTCAAGTCCCGGACCTGGGGGCTTGAAAAATCACACCAAGTGTGTGTGTATGTACATGCCCAAAATCCTGAGAGGAGAATGGGGGAAAAGAGATTGTGGCGTGACCATCCCCTAGGGGTGATTTCTCACTTCCCCTCTGCCTCTCCAGTGAAGCAAAAACTTTTAAATAAATAAAGAAAAGAAAAGAAAGAAACGAAATAGAAAGATACAACCCTTTGGGCTTTGGGGAGTGAAAACTTTGAAATTACTGATGGCTCAAAAGTGATAGAGTGGCCAGGAGGTGGCGTGGTGGTTAAGGGGCTGAATCCCACATGGCCGACTCCATGGTCTGAGTCCCGGGCCCAGGGCACATGTGCACGCATGCCCAAAATCTCAAAGAGGGGGGAGGACCAGCAGTTGGCATAATGGCTATGTCACTGGACTCCCATGTAGTCGACTGTAATTCAAGTCCCAGACACAGAGGTTTAAAATCACACCGGGCACATGTGTGTGCGTGCCCAAGATCCCAAGAGGAGAATGGAGGAGAAGGGACTGCGGTGTGGCCATCCTCCCTGGGGAGTGATTTCTCGCTTTCTATCTCTCTGTCTCTCTCTCTCTGTCTTTCTGGCGAGCGCATCTTCCCTATAGCAAAAACCTCTCAAACAAACAAACAAAAATCCTAAAAGCGGAATAGTGGAGAAGGGATTGTGGTGTGGCCATGCCCCCAGGGGTGATTTCTCACGTTCCCTCTTTCCCCAGTGAGCTCACGCACCTTCCCCAAAAAAAAAAAAAAAAAAAAAAAAAAAGATGCAGTGGGTGACGGTCATAAGAACTCTTACGGCCTAGTGGTAAGGGGAGTGGAGTCCCACACGAATGACCGCCAGATGCAGATCCTCTTCCCGGTGGCTTGAAGCATGTGCCAGACACATGTACACACACATCCTAAATCCCGAGGTTAGAGGAATGAAGAAGGGATTGCAGCGTGACCAGGCCCCATCGGGTGGTGCTTTCTCCTTTCCCTCTCTCTCTCTCTCTCTCTTTCTCTCTTTAGAGAGATTTTTGCTATAGAGCGCGTATGCTTGCCAGACAGAAAGTGAGAAATCACCCCTCCGGGGCTTGGCCACCCGCAATCCCTTCTCCTCCATTCTCTCAGTCGGGATCTTGGGCACACACGCACACGCCTGGTGTGAGTTTAAGCCACCAGGTCCGGGACTGGAACCGTGGTCGATTCCATGGGAGTCCAGCGATGTAAGCATTGCACCATCTGCTGGTCCTGTCACTTTTTCTCTCTCCGGGGAGCACGTGTGCCCAATGGCTAAAACTAAAAACAGACACATACAAATAAAAGCCCAGCTGGGCCCCCATCTGCCCCCCATCTCCATCCCGCCCGCTGGCAGCCCCAGGCCTCACCCAGGTCCTTCTCTGACTCCGCAGGCGGCTGGTGGTTCGGCACCTGCAGTCACTCCAACCTCAATGGCCAGTACTTCCGCTCCGTCCCTCGGCAGCGGCAGCAGAGGAAGAAGGGCATCTTCTGGAAGACGTGGCGGGGCCGTTACTACCCGCTGCAGGCCACCACCATGCTGATCCAGCCCACATCGGCCATAGCGGCCTCCTAGCTCCCTCGCCGGGGCCTCGTTCCAGGCTCCTACCAGACAGTGACTCTGGCTCTGGCCCAAAATGTGGCTGCGGGGCAGGGGCTCCAAGCAAGGGGACGCTGGAGCCTCGTGGACAGAGAAGAAGCCCATGGCTGGAGACGCCCCCTTTCCGAGTGGGGGGCTCACGCATTGCGCCCGGAGAGCAGGGCAGCAGGACAACGCAGACCCCAGAAGCGTGGGACTGCAGGGCATTGCGTCCCACTCACTCCTCACCCGCTAGAGGAGTTGAGGGACGCGGAGGGACCACTCGGGGCGTCAAGGCCCCGATGGCAGACTCAGTCACATTGACTGGCTGGTGGACTGGGGCTCCCGGGGGCTCCGGGGGCCCTCATGGTGCTGTTGTGTGTGGGTGCTGTGGCTAGCTGGCGCCGATGGCGACCGGGCGGAGCTCACAGAGTTCTTGGAATAAAAAAAGCAACCTCAGAACATTTCGTTCTTCTTTGTCCTTTGGTTTGTTTTAAAAAGCGGATGGTTTCAAAGTCCATATAAACAAGTTCCTGGGGTGGAGGGTGGCTACTCCCAGGTCCCTGAGGTCAGCACGAGTTAGTCCTCCCACCTCCAACAACTGACTTCAATTTATTTCCTTGATTTTTTCATGATGTGCGCCGGCCTTGTTTCTACTATGTTCAGATTTGCAAAACCAAACCCAACCCTCTTTTTTTTTTTTTTTTTTTTTTTGTGGAGAGGTTTTTGCTATAGGGCGCGTGAGCTCACCAGAAAGACAGAGACAGAGAGACCGTAAATGAGAAATCATCTCCAGGGGGGATGGCCACACCACAATCTCTTCTCCATTCTCCTCTCGGGATCTTGGGCACGCATGCACACGTGCCCGGCGTGAGTTTAAGTCACCGGGTCCAGGACTCGAACCACGGTCAACTACGTGGGAGTCCAGCGACATAGCCATTACGCTAATTGCTGGTCCCCCTTCTCCTCTGTTCTCCTCTTGGGATCTGGGGCATGCATGCACACGCACCCAGCGTGAGTTTAAGCCATGGGTCCTGGACTCAAACCACAGTCCAACTACGTGGGAGCCCAGTGACGTGGCCCTTATGCCAACTGCTGGTCCCCCCTCATATGGTTTGATGGTTTTGGAAATACTAATAACGTAAAATGAGAACCCCCTTTCCGATCACACTTGTGCACAAGGATCACAGTTAATTTTTTTTTGAAGAAGAATTATTGATTGGGGCTGACAGGAGGCATGGTAGTTAAGGGCGCTGGACTCTCCCACATGGCTGACCATGGTTCAAGTACTGGACCTGGTGGCTTGCTTTCTCACTTTCTCTTTCTCACTCTGTTCTTCTCAGGTCAAATTTAAATAAAGTTAAACAATTATTTTAAATAAATAAATAGATACATTAATTACATTAAATTAATGACTCTTTACAAAAATGTATTTAAATGTATTGCTCATTCTTATTTGAAAAGATTTTTACTATAGGGTGTGTGCACTCACTGGAGAGATTGAGACACAGAAAACGAGAAATCACCCCCCAGGGGCAGAGTCAGGCCACAGTCCTTTCTCTTCCATTCTCTTCTTGGGATTTTTGGGCACGCACGCACAGGCGTCTGGCATGAGTTTCAGGCCTCCCAAGTCCGGGACTCGAACCGTGGTTGGCCATGTGGCAGTCCAGCGACATAACCATTATACCATCTACTGGTTCCTTATTTTATTTAAGAGAGATTTTTGTGATAGCATGCATGAGCTCTCCAGAGAGACAGAAAATAAGAAATCATTCCCCAGGGGGGTTGGCCACACTACAATCCCTTCTCCTCCATTCTCCTCTTAGGATTTTGGGCACGCATGCACATGCGCCCAGCATGGTTCAAGCTGCCGGGTCCGGGACTTGAACCATTGATGGCTACGTGGGAGTCCAGTGATGTAACCATTATGCCATTTGCTGGTCCCATTATTTATTTATTTTTAATTTGCTATAGCGCTCAAGCACTCACCAGAGAGAACAAGGGAAAGTGAGAAAGCAAGCCATCAGGTCCAGGACTTGAACTGCAGTTGGTCATGTGGGAGTCCAGTGCCTCAACCACCATGCTATCTGCTGGCCCCAATTTTTTTGTTAACTTTCTGCACTAGGATATATGTGCTCGCAGGAGAGAGACAGAGAGAGAGAAAGGTAAAGGGAGAGAACACTCCCTGGGGGATGGCCATGCTGCAATCCTTCCTCCATTCTCGCAGGATTTTGGACATGCATACATACACATCTGGCATGTTTTTCCAGCTTCTGGGACCAGGAATTGAACCATGGTTGGCCATGGGGGTTCCTGCTCCCTTAACCACTAGGCTGGCCCTGATGTTTTGTTTGTTTGTAACATAAATTTAACCAATATTTACTGAGCACCTACTATATGCCAAGCCCTATATTGGGTGCTTGGGGTACTCTAGTTATAAAAAGAAGGGGGAGCCATCAGATTGCGTGGTGGTTAAGGTACTGGACTCCCACATGGCTGACCATGGTTCAAATCTCGTACCTGGCAGGTTGCTTTCTCCCTCTCCCTGTCTCTCTGGTCAAATTGAAGAATTATAATAAATAAATAAAATTAGGGGCTGGCAGCTGGTGTGGGGGTTAGAGGTGCTGGATTCCCACATGGCTGACCATAATTCGATTCCTGTACCTGGGGGCTTGCTTTCTCACTTTCCCTTTCTCTCTGTGTGCCTCTCTCTGGTCAACTTAAAAAAAAAAAAAAAACCATAATAACAACAAATGAAATTAAATAAATAAATATTTAATAAATTAAATAATCCATTGTAAAAAAAACAAAAACAAAACAAAACAAAACTTGTTTTTGAGGACCAGCAGTTAGCATAATGGCTGTGTCACTGGACTCCCATGTAGTCAACTGCAGTTCGAGTCCCGGACCCGGTGGCTTAAACTCACGCCGGGCGCGTGTGTGTGCGTGCCCAAGATCCCGAGAGGAGAATGGAGGAGAAGGGATTGCGGCCATCCCCCCTGGGGGGGGTGATTTCTTGCTTTCTGTCTCTCTGTCTCTCTCTGTCTTTCTGGCGAGCGCATGCGCCCTATAGCAAAACCCTCTACAAAAAAAAGAAAGAAAAAAAACCCTGTTTTTATTAAATAAATAAATTAATTAAAGGTCCCTGGCCTCTCCAAGGTGACTCGTGAAGCCGTTTCCATTACAGATAGGGAGACCCGTATTGCAGACACCCCAAACTAGAGCACGTTTGAGAGTGAAATGAGGGGCCGTTGGTAATTTAGCTGTGGACAGACATACAGCAGCTCACTCACAGACATACTGGGATTTGTTGACCTAGTCTTTTCGGTAATTTATTATTTATTTATTTTAGTTTGCCATGGGGTGTATCAACTCACTGGGCAAGTGAGAAAGCTCCCCCCATGGTGGACAGCCATGCCACCATCCTTTCTCCATTCTCCTCTTGGAACTTTGAACATGCATGCACATGCGCCCGGTATGCTTCTTTTTTTTGAGAGGTTTTTGCCTTAGGGTGTGTGTGCTCGCTGGAGAGATAAAGAGAGAGAGAGAAAGCAGGAAATCACCCCCCGGGGGGGATGGCCCCGCCGCAAGTCTTTCTTCTCCATCCTCCTCTCTTGGGCACGCACACACATGCGCCTGGCGTGAGTTTAAGCCACCGGGTCTGGGACTGGGACTCGAACTGTGGTTGACTGTATGGGTGTCCAGTGACATAGCCATTATGCCAACTGCTGGTTCCCTGACCCAGTTTTAAAAATGGAGAAGTATCTTGGCCCGCTGCAGCCATGCAGCCGTCACACAAAGTTCTGGGCACTGAAACCTCAAGGCAAGGTCTCAGCTCGGATGCCAAGGTCGCCCTGTGCGTGCCAGGCACATGATCGTGACTGCAATCCTGGCTGGCTGAGGCTGGGTGTGGACTGTGGCAAAGATCCTGTGGGGACTGTTCCTCTCTGTCTCTGAAGAAAGAAAGAAACTTAAATTCTAGGGGCCAATAAATGGCACAGCAGTTATGTTGCTGGACTTCCACATGGTCAACTGCAGTTCAAGTCCCAGATGTGGTGGCTCAAAACTTACATACCCAAGACCCCAGGAAGAGAATGGAGAAGAAGGGATTGCGGCATGGCTATATTCCCTGGGGGAGGATTTAAGATTGTTTTAAGAGTTTTTTTTTTTTTTTTTTGCCTTAGGGCGTGTGCATTCACCCTCACCAAAGAGCGAGACAGAGACAATGAGAGGGAACATGAGAAATCCCCTCCCAGGGGGTATGGCCATGCTGCCATCCCTTCTCCATTCTCCTCCTGGGATCTTGGGCACGCACGCACATGTGCCTGGTGTGCTTTTTCAAGCTACCGGGTCCAGGACTCGTACTGCAGTCGGCCATGTGGGAGTCCAGACATAACTGCTTTGTCACCTGCTGACCCCATGCTTTGACTTTTCACAGCAGTGAGCAGGGTGAGAAGGGGCTTGGGGAAGAATATGCAAGGCTTTGAGTCCACTCCCTGCCTTCCATCCCCTCCCTTCAACCTAATCTCCTCTCTGGCCAGGTGCTCCCACCTCCAGCCCTTGTGGCCTCCTGGCTGTTCGGACCTGCCTGGCCCTCTCTCACTTCGGGCTGTCTTGTTGGCATGAAACATTGTTCCCTCTACTTTCTCCTCCCAGGGTTGAGTTCTTCTCATTTTTTGGGAATCGGTGCAAATGCCTCCTCCTCCAGGAAGTCTTCCCTTGCTCCCTAGGTTTTCCCCCTCAGTGCCCATATCCTACTCAGAAATGATCTCATTTGTGTTCTTGTTTACTTATTTCTTGTTCAACGCTGTCCACAAGACTTCCAGCTCTGGAAGGGGTAGGACTTAGTCCTGTTCAGTGCTCCGGCATCTCAGTCGTCCAGTAAGTACTCAATCAATGTGTCCTGAGGGAAAGCCAAAGAGATTTTCTTTCTTTTTTCTTTTCTTTTTTTTTTTTTTAAAGAGATTTTTGCTCTAGGGTGCTTGTGCTTGCTGGAAAGACAGAAAGAGAGACAGAAAGCGAGAAATCATCCCCTGAGTGGGGATGGCCATGCCACAATCCCTTCTCTTCCATTCTCCTTTCTGGATCTTGGGCACGCACACACACGCACCTGGTGTGAGTTTAAGCCACCAGGTCCGGGACTTGAACCACATCGACTGCATGGGAATCCAGCGACATAGCCATTATGCCAACTGCTAGTCCCTTCAGTGTGAGTTTTAAGCCGCTGAGTCCAGGACTCAAACCACAGTCAACTACATGGCAGTTCAGCGATGTAACCATTCCACCACCTGCTGTCCCAAGACGTTTTATTTATTTATTTAGACATGGGAGAGTGAACTGGAGAGAGAGAGAGAGAGAGAGTGAGAGTGAGAGAAAGCACCCTCCAGGGAGGATGACCACACTTCAATCCCTTCTCCATTCTCCTGGGATTCTGGGCACATACACACACAAGACTGGCATGTTGTTT